GGAAGGTGTGACGTGACATGATTCATGGCTTGGGTAACGCGGCTTTCTCCGGCGGCAAGCCATTCAATGTTTTAGGTTGCGCCTTTCAACTGAAATCAGGCCCAGCAGGTAAAGGAATTCCATCACATCATGGGAATGAAGAGGGGCGCCGATTAATTGTTCACAAATTGTTTCCGACTGGTAATAAATATAAACACAATATCCAACACGAACCCGTGCAGCGGGCCAGGGGGACACGTCTTCGACCGGGGATACCCACAACCAAGAAGTATATACATTGCATCGGTCAAGAATGGCTCAATCGCAAACCCGAACCGCAGCGTGATGAAACCCAGAAAGATTCGAAAATCAAAAGCATAGGCGAACTCGCTCGCAAGGATTCGAAGCGGATCGGCGTTGGAACGGCTGCAAGAGGAAACGAGCTAAGCGAACGGTCGAAATGGAAACCAGCTGAATTTTAATACCTTATCTGCTGTAGTTTGTCAAAACCAATAGCCCTCGTTGATTCAACAACGGGAATAATTCTGGGTTCACGTGGCTCGGAATCGGATGATTCTGCAGGTGCGCATCACGGTCCGCGGGAAACGTGAGCTCGACCCGCTTGAGGGACGGGAGAGGGAGCGCCGTGATTCCAGCATCAAATGCACTCATCAAGGCGTCGGTCTGCAGTCCAGGGAAGTCCCGAAGCTGTGGAAATAGAATCTTATAGATGATTTCCTGGATCATATTCGGGTTTCCGATCTCCGACAAAATGACCAACGTTGCGGGAAGATCGGGTGTCATCGACAGGACGATCCCAAGGTGCGTGAGGGCGGGAAACTGCCTTGGATGAATGGATTGAAAATCGTCCGAGACGTATGTTGATGGTATCGTGACGCCCGTCAAATCATCTACAGAATCAAAATTTCATGGTTAGGATGAACCCCAAAAGAAAAGCAAATGGCGCACCAGGGAGGAAGGTCAGCGATGTTAACATTTCCCGTACTGGCTCTAGAACGGCTGCGATAGCCCCATTCGCAGACGCAGTAATATCGGCGTGGATGAGATTGGTAAAGTCGAGCGGGAAACCAGGACGAATGAACCATTCCGCAATGGACCCTGAGAATCTCAGTGAAAGATGTGTGATTTTCGCTTTCGCCGATGTGTGCGTGGTCGGCTGAGCCCAAGCTTCAGTTTCAAGAGCAGAACATTGCACGAAGTGTAGTCCCTCCAATAGGCCGGCGTTGTCGAGAATACCGAGTAGGGATGTGTAAGAAAGGCGATCGAAGTCGTACAGCAACACATGCCGGATACATTGACCAATGATGGCCTGTATGAGTCGCATAACAGAGCCATCGAGGCCCCCATCCCCGGTACTGGATATCTGGATAACCTGCAGCCGAGACAGCTTCATGTCAGAGACGATGGAAAAAAAACTCGAAATCCGAGGAGACAGAAAGGCGCTGGACGTGGGCCGCGAGGTGTGGAGATTGTTTCATGATCTCTGCTAGGCGCCGACAGAGAGACAGCTCCGACAACGAGTTCGAGGCGGCGCTTAGGTCGATATCATGAAACAGCAACGCCTGCGCAGGGAGCAGAAACGCCTGAGAGACGAGGGAGAAGGATTGCAAATCTTGAATTGTGGCGGGATCCCACGGTCTGGGTTCCCAGTCGAAGGAGCGGGCAAAACGGCACACGGCCGCGGCGGCAATGATACGAGCCCATAATTCTGGAGGAAGATGCTGGCAGGGCATGAGTCACCATGTGGGCTGTAGGAGGATTATTAACAGAGTTGAATAGCAAAATACACGTACGCCCTCGCTGAGATGTTGAAGGAAACGACCGTTGTCAGGTTAAAGGGAAGAGTGAGCCGTGACGTTACGAAGTGACAGTAACATAACACGCATACCACTAGCATCCCACAAGACTGACGCGGATTATAATCTCGTGAACGGAAGACTTATCAAGGACATTAAGCACGATGGATACAGGCAAGGATACAGGTATATAAATCAAGATTCAAGTCGGTTCTGACGGTCGGAAGCCATCACGCTCCTCAAGAGTCCAGAGTATGAGGGTTCGTTTGTACAAAAAACCGCGCGAAAGAAACCCGGCGCGCGCGAAAGAAACCCAGTGCACGCGAAAAGAAGGTTGATTGCGCGCGAAAGAAACGTGAGTCAGACAGTTGGTGTCATCAAGCCGAGTGCGAGCCGAGTGGCTGTGGGACACTAACTTAGTAGTATTCACATGGCAAAAAGATTTGTTTCAGCTGGTCTCAAAACATTTCTGAAAGCGTGAATTTAAGCGCCAGAATCAGTAAGGCTGAAAATGCACCTGAAGCAGTAAGTTTTGGCAGCAATTTCAGTCCACCCAAAGCTGTTGCTGAAACTATAGATTTCAGCAACCGCTTCGGCAAGTCAAAGACAATAAGCTTCGGCTTCTATTTCGGGGCACCGGCCGAAAGCAAACATTTCAGCCTCACAAAAACCAAATCTAGGCTGGTCTAGACCGCTCTAGACTCAGGTGTTAGCCCTTCTGAAGCTTATTGTTTCAGTCGCCAGCCGAAATTGGGCCGAAATCTTATTGTTGCTGGCCTGCCGAAGCTGTTGCTGAAACCATTGGTTTAAGCAGCGACTTCAGGCAGGCTGGAAGTGCATCTGAAACTTGGTATTTCAGGTACATTTTCAGCCTTACTGATTCCAGTGCTTAAACATACACTTTCGGAAACATTTTGAGATCAGGTGAAACAAATCTTTTTGCTGTGTGATTGTTTCCTCAAGTCCTCCATGTACTTCACCCACAAATACAGATTTCTACATGGCGTCATATCTGTTAGTCCTCTGCTTCATATCAAACCTGTGTATGTCATATAATAGATCCAAATGTGTTCAAAACCTTAGGTTTCCTACTGCTCGACATTGGCACAGCAGGATTTATGTAGAATCAGCCAGTAGGGAACCATTATCTCTGCACCCTTCCGACTCCTTTGGCAGGGAGTCGATGTGAGCTTTGGGGAAAACCTCACAATCTAATCTAATCTAATCCAAGACATCTTATCTTATCTGAGACAGCATCCCGACGTTTACAACCCAATGTCCTGAACCTGTCTGGACACGGAGACATGGGGTAATATTTGTTGCAATTATATCTAAGAAACTCAGCTATCCTCCGAGGAAAGCAGTGATGGTCGACTCCAGGTCGAGACCGTTTACATAATATATCGTGGGTGGTCCAGGAGGCTTAGGTGGAGGGCACTAGTACCCGAGGACACACCAGGAGAGCTGATGGAGTTGTAAAGATGCTCTTTGTCCAAATTTGCAATAGTACCTATTAATTACTGAATCATCGCTCTTTCGCGCGCGCTGGTCCTCTTTCGCGCGCGCAGATCTATTTTTTGTACAAAAGAACCATCATACGGAGTCCACATGCGGAGTTACTCCGAGTCAAGAACCATCCCATAGCAACACAAGTGGCCAGCCTCGCGTCCAGCTCATGCCCTCGCGTAGGTTCTCCAGAAGTTCGTACCCGTGTCCAGTCCATCTCTGTGGGAGCATGAATTGATCTGAATTAGGGTTATCAGTCGACGAATCCACAGCGAGCAGAAGCACCCACCGAAACCTGAAGGGGCCTGCGGTCTTTCACAGCCTTCCATAGCCAGCAAGGGACGTGGGGTCTGAAGGTGTCTGCAAGCGCAGAAGGCCAAAATCAAAATCAGAATCGTCCCAAAAAGGGAATCATGAGTACGCACTGGACCGCCCACGTAGCCGACAAGATCCGCCGCGCTCGTAGGTGCACACGCCGCGGACGAGAAGGGGTCCCGCCGCTCCTACGCGGCCGCCCTCCGCCACTGCACACCCGATACCCGCCAGCATCGCGTGCGCGAAGCCGGCGTCTCGGAGGATACAGACGGCTCTCCGCGATGGGCTGGGCGACGAGGAAGGGGTGCCCCTACGCTCGAAATGCGGAGGGCAGCACAGTCGCGCATCTCGACCCGACGCCGGGAGTATCGGCGTATGGTCTTTCCTCGTCCAAGCTCCATCTCCAGCGCGCCGCAGGCCGAAACGAGCGCCAGATTTGGGTCGTCGGGCCTCCTCTTCACGACGCCCGCGTCCCGCGAGCGGCGGGGAGCTCCTCGTGCCTCCCCCCCTCCTGAGTCCGCCATCTGCGTCTCGCCCCCTCCGATACCCTCTACGCGTGAAGTGGCAGACCGCAGCGCAGCGCAGGCGGACAACGTGCATGAAGGAGGACGACGCAGGGTGTAAGATGGATGCGGAGCGAAGAGGTCGAGACGCAGGGGGCGAAATGGGCGGTACGTCGGGCGTGCGCTCCTCTTCCTCCCTCGAGCGGCGAGGAGCTCCTCGCGCCTCCTCCCTCCCCTCCTCCGTCTGCGTCTCGCCCCCTCCCCTAGTCCCTCTATGCGCGCGACGGCGGGAGGCGGATCGTGGGATGAGGGACGGCGCAGAGCGCAAGATGGACGAACGGCGAAGAGGTCGAGACGCAGGGGGCGAAATGGGCGGTATGGTGTACGGCGCACCGCCTCTCTCCTTTACACCGTCCAAAAATGACACCTGAGGCAGCCCAGGGTTCGACTCCCCGTGTCCGAATATCTGATCCAGGAGGTCCTTTTTGATCGCAGTGCGGAAATATTGCTCACCTATCCACACACGCAGACCTACAAATCATCGGACATGGTGTACGTCTGTTCTTACCTAAGGCTTCCTAGAGAAGATTATGAGGCAGTCCGGGGTTCGACTCCCCGTGTCCGAATTTCATGTCTCCTGTGTATTTTTCTTTTGAATGCGCTGCGAATTTTTGTTCACTTATGAAGGTGTACAGGTACAGAAAGGATCGGACATGGTGTACGGTGCACGGCCTCCTCTCTTCGTTAAGAGGCATCAATGGCGCGAGGTAATCCGGGGTTCGATCCCCCGTGTCCGACTAACCGTGGTTCCAATTACTTTTTCTTTTGATCGCAGTGCGAATTTTTGCTCACTTATCCAGCGTCGCAGGTATATGAATCATCGGACATGGTGTACGGTAAAGCACCTCCTCCCTTGATGTCGAATCGTGGCAGTTGCATGAGGCCGACCGGGGTTCGACTCCCCGTGTCCGAATAAGTTCTCTATCTCTAACACCTTTTTGAACCCGCTGCGAAATACTCCTCACCTATCCGAGTGCGCAGGTATACAAAACATCGGGCATGGTGTACGGTACACGGCTTCTCTCCTTTCAATACCACAAGCTGACCTGAGGCAGCGCGGGGTTCGACTCCCCGTGTCCGAAGAGCTCTCTCTCTATCTAACACCTTTTTGAACCAACTACGAAAAGCTCCTCACCTATTCAACTTCGCAGGTATATAAGTCATCGGACATGGTGTCCGGTACACCGCCTCTGTTCTTGCCCAAGGCTTCCTAGAGAAGATTATGAGGCAGCCCGGGGTTCGACTCCCCGTGCCCGGATAAGTTCTCTCTAGCAGGTCCTTTTTGAATCCACTGCGAAATATGGTTCACCTAACCAAGTTCACAGGTACAGAAATCATCGGATGTGGTGTACGGTACACCGCCTCTCTCCTTTACGCCGTCCAAAAATGACACCTGAGGCAGCCCGGGGTTCGACTCCCCGTGTCCGAAATAATATGATTGTAGTCAATCCTTTTTGAATCCACTGCGAAATCTCTCACCTACCCAACTTCGCAGGTGTAGAAATAATCGGACATGGTGTACGGTACACGGCTTCTCTCCCTTCAATACCCCAAGCTGACCTGAGGCAGATCGGGGTTCGACTCCCCGTGTCCGAATACGGCTTCTGCAAGCCTTTTTCAACCTTTTTGAACCCGCTGCGAAAGATGCTTACCTCTCCAAGTTTACAGGTGTGCAAAACATCGGGCATGGTGTACGGTACACCGCCTCCTCTTGAGCCATTTCGAAGGTGCACGAGGCAGATCGGGGTTCGACTCCCCGTGTCCGAATTTCAAGTCTCCTATATATTTTTGGAACCCATTCTGGAATATCGCCCACCTTTCCGAGTTTACAGGTATCCAAATCATCGGGCATGGTGTACGGTACACCGCCTCCTCCCTTGCGGTGGTTCAATTCAGGAGTTGCGTGAGGCAGATCGGGGTTCGACTCCCCGTGTCCGAATCGCTGGTGTAGCAAGGACCAATTTTTGAACCAATTGTGGAATATCGCTCACCTATCCAGATTCGCCGGTATAGAAATAATCGGGCTTGGTGTACGGTACACCTCCTCTCTCCTTCCAATACCATAAGCTGACCTGAGGCAGATCGGGGTTCGACTCCCCGTGTCCGAATAGGTGCTCTATCTAACACCTTTTTGAATCCACTGTGAAATGTCACTCACCTATCCAACTTCGCAGATATAGAGATAATCGGATATGGTGTACGGTACACCTCCTCTCTCCTTCCAATACCACAAGCTGACCTGAGGCAGATCGGGGTTCGGCTCCCCGTGTCCGAATATCGGCTCCCTATACCAGCTTTTTGACACCCCTGCGAAGTATGACTCACCTATTCAAGTTGGCAGGTATAGAAATCATCGGATATGGTGTACGGTACACCGCCTCCTCTCTTGATTCGGAGTTTTAGAAGTTAAGCGAGGCAGACCGGGGTTCGACTCCCCGTGTCCGACTGACCGTGGTTCCTCGCTTTTTCTTTTGAATGCGCTGGGAAATATTGCTCACCTTTCCGAATTCACAGGTAGAGAAACCATCGGATATGGTGTACGGTACACCGCCTCTGTTCTTACCCAAGGCTTCCTAGAGAAGATTATGAGGCAGTCCGAGGTTCGACTCCCTGTGTCCGAATCAGCGCTCTCTACAACTGTTTTTAATGACCTATGAACTCTTGCGCACATATGCTGGCGTGCATCATCTCGCCTGCTTCTGTTTGGTTATTCGCCGCTGCGAAATATTGCTCACCTATCCAGCTTCGCAGGTATACAAGTCATCGGGCATGGTGTACGGTCCGCCGCCTTCTCTCGTGAACCATTTCGAAGGTGCAGGCAAGCACGGGGTTCGACTCCGCGTGTCCGAATATCTGATCTAGCAGCTTCTTTTTGAATCCGCTGCGAATCCTCGCTCACTTATCCGTCTTTTCAGGTATAGAAATAATCGGACATGGTGTACGGTACATCGCCTCTCTCCTTTCAATACCACAAGCTGACCTGAGGCAGCCCGGGGTTCGACTCCCCGTGTCCGAATACTTCTGTCGCCCCTCTTCTTTTTATTTATTCGCCACTGCAAGATACTCACCTATCCGAGTTTACAGATATCCAAATCATTGGACATGGTGTACGGTACACCGCCTCTGTTCTTATCCATGATGTTCTATAGAAGATTATGAGGCAGTTCGGGGTTCGACTCCCCGTGTCCGAAGAGCTCTCTCTCTATCTAACACCTTTTTGAACCGACTACGAGATATCACTCACATATCCAACTTCGCAGGTAGAGAAGCCATCGGATATGGTGTACGGTGCACGGCCTCCTCTCTTCGTTAAGAGGCATCAATTGCGCGAGGTAGACCGGGGTTCGACTCCCCGTGTCCGAATAGCTCGTCTACCTGTTCTAGCACCTTTTTGAATCCACTGCGAAACATCACTCACCTGTTCAAGTTAACAGGCATAGAAACCATCGGGCATGGTGTACGGTACATCGCCTCCTCCCATAAGATTTGGGTTCTGAAGTTGCGCGAGGCAGCCCGGGGTTCGACTCCTCGTGTCCGAAATTGTGATTGACACCGAGGCTTCTTTGAACCCGCTGCGAATTTTTGTTCACTTATGAAGGTGTACAAGTACAGAAAGGATCGGACATGGTGTACGGTACACCGCCTCCTTCGCTTGTTGTGAGCCAGCTTGTGGCTATGGAATGCGCCGAGGCAGATCGGGGTTCGACTCCCCGTGTCCGAATGATAGAGTATGCCTTCTTTTTATTCATTTTCTGCTGGAAGGTATTGCTCACCTACTCAAGTTACCAGGCAGGAAAGTAATCGGACATGGTGGACGGTACACAGCCTCCTCCCTTGATGTCGAATCGTGGCAGTTGCACGAGGCAGCTCGGGGTTCGACTCCCTGTGTCCGACTAACCGTGGTTCCAATTGCTTTTTCTTTTGATCGCAGTGCGAATTGTTGCTCACATATCCGAGTGCGCAGGTATACAAATCATCGGACGTGGTGTACGGTACACCGCCTCTCTTCTTGGCCAACACCTCGTACAGAAGATTACGGTTCGACTCCGCGTGTCCGAAATCATGATCCTTGTCTGCTTTTTATTCACCGCTTCGATAATATCGGACACCTATCCAACTCCGCAGGTACAGAGAATAATCGGACATGGTGTACCTGGATCAGATATTCGGACACGGGGAGTCGACCCCCGAGCTGCCTCGCGCAGCTTCAGAACCCAAATCTTATGGGAGGAGGCGATGTACCGTACACCACGCCCGATGATCTCTGTACCTGCGGAGTTGGATAAGTAAGCGAGCATCTATCGAAGTGGTGAATAAAAAGCGACGTGCTACTTGAACATTCGGACACGGGGAGTCGAACCCCGGACTGCCTCAGATGACATTTTTTCGACGCCCTCAAGAAGAGAGGCGGTGTACCGTACACCATATCCGATTATTTCTACACTTGCGAAGTTGGATAGGTGAGCAAAAATTCGCACTGCGATCAAAAGAAAAGCAATTGGACCCACGGTCAGTCGGACACGGGGAGTCGGACCCCGGACTGCCCCAGGTCACCTTGTGGCATTGAATCAAAGCAGAAGAGGCTGTGTACCGAGGTCCTTTTTGATCGCAGTGCGAAAATATTGCTCACCTATCCACACACGCAGACCTACAAATCATCGGACGTGGTGTACGGTACACCGCCTCTCTTCCTGGCCAGCTTCATCCCAGAACAAATGTTATGAGGCAGATCGGGGTTCGACTCCCCGCGTCCAACTCGCTGGTCTAGCAAGGACCAATTTTTGAACCGACTACGAGATATCACTCACATATCCGAGTTTACAGATATACAAACCATCGACACCGCATCTCTTGTTGGCCAACTCCTCGTATAGAAGATTATGAGGCAGCCGAAGTTCAACTCCCCGTGTCCGAATATCTGATCTAGCAGGTCCTTTTTGACTCCACTAAAAAATATCGCTCACCAATCCGAGTTTACAGATATACAAACCATCGACACCGCATCTCTTGTTGGCCAACTCCTCGTATAGAAGATTATGAGGCAGCCCGGGGTTCGACTCCCCGTGTCCGAATGCTCAAGTGCCAGGCCTCTTTTTGATTCCACTGCGAAATATCACTCACATATCCGAGTGCGCAGGTATATAAGATCGTCGGACATGGTGTTCTACGGTACACCGCCTCTGTTGTCCCACCGCGTATCAAAGATTATGAGGCAGATCGGGGTTCGACTCCCCGTGTCCGAATGTTCTAGTGCCAGGCCTCTTTTTGATTCCACTGCGAAATACCACTCGCATATCCGAGCTTACAGATATACAATTAATCGGACATGGTGGACGGTACACTGCCTCCTCCCCTGCGGTAGTTCAATCCAGGAGTTGCGTGCGGCAGATCGGGGTTCGACCCCCGTGTCCGACTAACTGGTCTAGCAAGGACCAATTTTTGAACCGACTGCGAAACATTGCTGACCTATCCACCCTAGCAGGCATAGAAACCATCGGGCATGGTGTACGGTACACCGCCTCTCTTCTTGAGGGCGTCGAAAAAATGTCATCTGAGGCAGTTCGGGGTTCGACTCCCCGTGTCCGAATGTTCCAGTGCCAGGCCTCTTTTTGATTCCTCTGCAAAATATTACTCACCTATCCATCCTCACAGGCATAAAAATCATCGGGTATGGTGTACGGTACATCGCCTCTCCCCCTTGAGATTGAGCTTCTTATGTTGCACGAGCCAGATCGGGGTTCGACTCCCCGTGTCCGAATAGTCCGGTCCCTTCTACTTTTTATTTATTCGCCGCTGCAAGATACTCCTCACCTATCCGAGTTTACAGATATCCAAATCATTGGACATGGTGTACGGTACACCGCCTCTGTTCTTATCCATGATGTTCTATAGAAGATTATGAGGCAGTTCGGGGTTCGACTCCCCGTGTCCGAATAGTTCTGCCAGACATTTTTTGAACCAACTACGAAAAGCTCCTCACCTAATCAAGTTCGCACGCATAGAAATCATCGGACTTGGGCTACGGTACACCGCCTCCTGTCTTGGTCTTCAGTATTTACCGGTAGATGGTGAAACTCATTCAGCCAGAGGGTAACTAGGATGTAGCAAGAGGCGTGGCCTCACGATAATCTCCACCACTCTTGTTAGTCAGTATAATGTTCTGTATTGTTGGCATGGTTGAAGCGGGGGATCCCATGTTAACGGCAACACTGTCAGACTCACCCGCTGAGTTCCAGCGAATTGCGATACTGTGACAGAAAATAAACAGAAAGCGCTCCAGTCTGGAGAGTTCGAACGAGATTCAACAGTGTCCGCATTGGGCAGCTGATCCGGGTTTGAGTTGGTAAGCTTATGCAGCGAAAGAAGTTCCAACGAACTCTTCAGTCAATCCCTGCGCCTGGTATTTTTCCTCGGATTTTCCATGGCGAATCCCAGTCAAGCCAATGACCTCCAAGCCAAGAGGACATCACTAAAGTCGTAGTTTAAATGGGGGATTTCCTTGATTGTCATGGGCAAAAACGAAATCAGCGCGGATAAGGACATTGACTGTAGCCTGCCTTTTCTCTTCGTCCATGAGAAACTTGATTGACCACCGACTTTTTCATTTTGCTGGGAACTGCATTTCAGGTTCCGACTCCGCCGGCGAGATGCCATCGCCGCATGTTGATCCCATCAGACGACCTTTTTCACGTCATCCACGATCTATCCTCGACCGGCGCGGCGTCAGGCTACGTCTGTATCCACCTTTCTCCTTGAAACTGATATGTGAACCCTTTATTTGCCTCTGCTACCCGTATCGCTAACTGGGATCCCAATCAGCATGGACCCTATTCTTACAGTGCTCCTCCAGAGCAATGAGCCACTGGATGACTCCCAAGCTCGTCACGTTCGGGCCACGCTTGACGCTACTCTAACAGGGCTCGAGGATCTCGAGGGAGAGATCTCCAAGACTTTGCTCGCCCTCGTGAAACTAGAAAATGAGCGACGTCGTCGCAGTCAGTACGCGGACATCTTGATGGGCACTCTTTCTCCCATACGCCGCATTCCATCTGAAATCTTGGTCGAAATCTTCCTCACATGTCGCGATAACACTCTGAGCGAGCCCAACTACTCCATTACCGATTCGCGACAGGCGCCGATGCTAATGGGTCACGTCTCGTCCCGTTGGCGTCAGGTTTGCCATGGCGCCCCCAGACTGTGGGACCATTTCCATCTCTCGGCGACGCCTGGCTCTTCGATGGACCGTACGGTTTCCCAGCTTCGCCCGATCCTCGCTAGATCCCGCATCCTTCCTTTGCACGTCAAATTCAAGCAGTGGTCCGGTTCGCCCACTGTGACTGAAAATCTATTCGATCTGATATTCCAAACCCATGAGAGATTAAAGCATCTTTATCTCTGTATCAAGCGCACTACCACTTCCTCCAAGTCCCTATCACGCATTTTCAACAGACCAACCCCCCTCCCGGTCCTCTCCTCCATTAAACTTATTGTAGACGAGACCCTCGATGCCGCTCGGGTTCTGGCCTTGTTTCACGACATGCGCCAATTACGGGACGTGCACCTCAACACTCACCCGCTGCCCCCACGTTCGCTGCTATATGCACTTCCATGGGCCCAGTTCACTCGCTTGGGATTGCACAGTGCCCTTGAACTCGGTGATGCGAGGGATATCCTCGCGCAATGTGCAGTGTTACAAGAATGCGAGTTGTATGAGTTGACCAACGAGGATGGCATGGAGCCCCCACACCATGTGCATCAACTGATCCACCTGCAGCGGCTTGCGATTAGCTCCGACCAGGAAATTGCCTCGGAGTTCCTCGAAGCGTTCTCATTTCCGAATCTTCTCTCTTTGGACATTTCATGCAGTGCCCTCTCGCCCGATGCTATCCCCAACCTGTTGGCCGGGTCAAAATGCAGCCTAGAAGTTCTCAGACTGAACGTTAATGGGCTCGACCTTATCCCTCTCCTCCGACAGCTTCCCTCGCTCCAAACATTAGATCTGCAGCATTGCGGCGCCGACAATGCACTGTTCAAGATATTCACGTACGATCCCCGGGAGCCTGTTCCCTCGTTCGCCCTGCCCCAACTGACATCGTTAGCCATCATCGAGAGGAACCCATCTCGGGATGGCCTTATTATCTCTGATATGGTCGAGTCCGTGTGTGCACACGCCGGGGGTCAGAATGGTGCTTTCCCCGTTCTCGTGGACGTTGAATTGTGCCTTTACGGTCCCCGTTTCGATGACGATGTCCAGGATCGGATCGCAGCCGCCTGCGCCACAGCTAGCTCGGTCAGGGTATACGGTTCGCGATTCCGTTGACGACTCCTTCGGTGCGTTCGTCCTCGTTCCTGTGCATTGCATCTCATGATCCCGCAGCGATTCCGACGCGCCGCGATTCTCAAGACCAAATATCCGTCATCGACCTTTGCGCTGCCTTCGGTCTGGCCCACAGCAACAAAATTCATACCAACCCACCTTTACCGCACATACATGGACTTCCTCGTCTCCGTGGTTTTGTCTGACCACTGCGCAACCTCAAGAATAAGATGTAGATAATCTAGATTTGAGGTATTTTGGGAACTGTACGCGCAGATTTTGAACGCCAATCTACCATTAAACTATTTAACACGACGCAAGGAACGAGTTACGATCGTTGAGTTGTCGGACCTTCGTTATTCATCTACCAGAGTGTGTTTCGACTCGGCATAATTACATATTTTCTGTATGTAGGTGGGTGGGGGTGTCTTTTCGACTGAACCGAATTTGAGGAATGTGGAAATCAAGGATCCAAGTTTACCAGCAGGAGTCGCCCGCGCGCTCCGTGCCGTGCTTCTCCCTCTCCTCCGCTCCTCGCCCTCGCCCCGCCGCCCACCCTCTTCCCGCGCAAAGACGCCCGCCCCCGCGCGGAAAACGCGCCTGCCCGCCCTCGCTCATGCACATCCCGCGCAGAAACCGAGCGTACCCTTGCGTCCATCAGATCCTCCGTCGTCCGCGCGCCGCGCCGACCCCACCAGGCATGCACGTGCGGAGGCGAACAGGGAATGCAGGGCGGACGTGCGCCGTGTAGCCGTCTCGGGGGCTAACGTCGCACCTCCAAGCGCCACGCCCGCCGATAGGAGCGCGAGCGGATGTAGACCCTGAGCGCCCCGCACGATTGCGCCGACATCGGGTGGCGGGTAGGCGCGGGGGGCCGGACGGGGGAGACGCGAGGGCGTTGGTCGTCCAAAGGCGGGGATTTGTTTGGTATGCCCGCATTTAGTTGGGATACGTAGGCGGACAAGACGCTCCAGTCGCACGTAGTATCGACTGTATTTTGCCGTCGGGTGTGCAATTTGAAGATTGGGCGCACAGCCTCCGGCCTTCGAACCGACACTTCTGCTTCCAGCTTGAAGCATTCCTTCTTGTCAGGTGCCCTGCTTCTCTCCCAGAAG